TTCCCGGCAAGCCCCGCTCGCGGGCGGCCGCCATTCCCGCGCCCGGATTTCGCCATCGCGGGGGCCGGCCGCGGGAGCGCCCCCGCCGACGTCCCGGAGCCGCAGCCTCAGGTGGGTGAGCCCGGCGCGCCGCGGAGCTCGGGACCGGGGCCCCCCGCGAGCCGCCCCGCCAGCCCCTTCCGAGCGGGACGCGCGTGGCGGGCGGGGGTGCGGGAGAGGAGGGGCGGGCAGCCCCGGCGCCCGCGACTGGGGAGAGTCGGAGCTGCGCGCCCCGCGTGCCGCGCGCCAGGGCGGGTTGGAGAGGGGGTGTCCCTGCCAAGGTCCGGGGTGTGGGGTGGGTATTTGGGGTGGCCGCGCAGGGGGAAGGAGGTGGGGTCTTCGGTCTGTTGTATCCTTGTGGACTTAGAGCCCGATAGGGAGAAACCGAAAAACTCATCCTGAAACACACACACAGAGGTGAGTACACAAAGAAAAAGGAAAACACACGAAGAAACACTCATACAGACCGATCACGGAGAGAGACAGCGACAGCTCACAGAAAGCTCATACACGCTCAGAGAAACACACCCGAAACGCACGGGAAGAGGGGAGACAAAGCGGGTGGTCTTGGAGGCCATGGGCAGGGGGAGGGGAAAGGAAACACCGAGAAAGCATGAGATGGGGGAAGGGGAAGGAGAGACCGGGAGTGGAGAGGAAAGCCGAGAGAGGGAGCAAAATGAAGAGAAATCAGACAAGGAGGAAAGAAAAGGGGCCAAAGGAGGTAGCTCCTTAGGAGGGACAGCATTAAGAAACGCATCTAGAGAAACTGAGGCACTACACCCCTCTTCTCCCCCCAAAACACAATCAGATACAGAGATGAAAAAAGTAGATCCCAGCCTTCTCATCCTTGTGGGCAAGTGAGTCCACAAGCTGTGCTGTGAGACCTCTGAGAAGCCCTCCTTGGCGCTTTGAGTCAGCCAAGTCCCCACCTTATCCACTTGGAAAACTCCTACTCATCCTTCAAAACCCAGCTCAAGCATCACCTGCCCTTTGAAGAAATCTTTCCTAGAAAGTGTTGTGCAAGCACTGGTACTCCCATTTCTGTGTACTTCTGCATGTGGTACAGGCACTCCGAGTTGAAATGGTTTGTCTGCCTGTCCACCTCTCCCCCAGTTCCCCAAGTTTGGGGGGGCCCATGTCTTCATTTATCTCCAATCTCCAGAATCCAGTCCTTGGTACATAGTCAATGGTTAATAAATACTCACGGAATGATGCTCAGGAGCATTTAGACCCTCAAGACATGGAGTATAGAATTAAATTCAAATAGAGGAGTTGTACTTACTGTCCTAGAGTCAGAGAGAATTCCAGGTCAAAGTGCCTTTTTTTGCAGGTGGAGAAATCAAAGCCCAGAGAGGAGAAGAGACTTGCTCAAAAAGACACAAGTGGGAGACCTGCAATGAAATAACATTGTGAATACATACTTCTCTGAGATGCCATTGTCCCTTCAGCCTATGTGTTTAAAATAGGCATGAAAGACTCCCCAAAATGAAAGCAGGCAATAAATAGGCAAGGGAAACTTTAATACCAGTTCTAAGTTACCAGCATTGAAACTGGCAATCAAAACTTTCTCCAGAGTTTTTAGAATCCTCTTTCCTCCTTAGAAAGAATAGAGGAGGTGAATGTCCATCTCAGTTTGTGTGGATGGCTTTCTGCTTCCTGACTCCAAAAACTTGGACGAATTACTTAACCTCTGCGGACCTCAGTTTTCTCATCTGTAAAATGGGGAGACTGATACCTGCCCCATAGGATAATTAGAAGAGTTAACACGTACCAAGTGCCTGGCACAGAGTAGATCCTCAGTGAATACAGGCCTGCCCTTCTTCTTAGGTGGGTATTTGTTCATGTGCCTGGTGCAGAAAATAGTGCTAGTGAAAATGTTTCCTTTTGTCCTTGGTTGCAAAGGCCATCCTGGTCCAATGGGGGAGCAAATGCTTTTAGGGAAGGAAAATGCAAGTTTAGAGCATGACATAAAATGCGTTGCGATTCTGTTCAGGCCCTCAGGTCTCTGCAGGTGACTTGGGGGAGCCTAGCTGCCCTCCCCGTTAACCCACCAGCAGGTAAGACCCCCCCCCCGCCCCGCTGTCTTTCACTGCTTCTTCACCAGGCTGTTCTCTCCTTGTGTCTTGCAAACTTCAGCCCATGTGGGGGATTGACTGGGACTGAGGGAGCCACCTGGAAGCATGGAGACCGTGGTGATTGTTGCCATAGGTGTGCTGGCCACTATCTTTCTGGCCTCGTTTGCTGCGTTGGTGGTGGTTTGCAGGCAGCGCTACTGCCGGCCCCGAGACCTTCTGCAGCGCTATGATTCCAAGTGAGTGGTCCAGGGAGGGGAAGGAGGAGAGATGGGCTGTGCCCTGGGGCTCCGACGAAAGAAAAAAAGAAGTTTGGTGCTGGGCAACTCTTGTTCGGCTTTCTGTCTCTAAAATGGTACCCAAGGCTGTCCTCAGAGCTTAAGGATGTTCCTTAAGCCCCGCAGTGCCCTGAGCCACCTTGGACTCTGTCACCGAACGTGTTCATCTAGCACAAATCTATCCCAGACCCACCACCTCATTTAGCATTTGTACAAGCCAAGCCCCTTTCCAATAAAACTTATAGGAACAGAAATATGATGCCCCCACTCCAGCCACATATCTAAGCAAGGGACACTTAGTGCTGTGAAACCCCAGCCTAGGACCATCTCTCTGTGTGCACATATTTCCTCATGATGTTCTGCAGGTGAAACACAGTTTGCCAGCAAGATCCTATCAGCAGTTTAGGGATATTTTAATTGTTAGAGCCTCAGGGACCCTGACCAGTAACCCTTAGTTCTTTTACCCCTTTTTTGAATCCTATCAGCATCTCTGTTGAGTGGTTAATAATTAGTAAACGCACATTTATGTGATGCAGGAAAGCTCTGCTGTGGCATCTCATGTTTTCAAGAACCCTGTTGTAAAGAAGAAGGTGTTTTCACTTCTCCCACTTCTCTAGTATAACTGGGAAGGGGTGGGACTATGCAGGTGGACCAGGGGGGCTCCCAGGAGAGATTCTGCAGGACGTGTAGGGGGTTCAGGTAAGTTTGGCTAATTGGAACTTTAGCTTCTCCATAAAAGTTAGGCTTGAAGGAGAAGTTACAAACAGATATTGTCCAGAAGGAGCAGCCCGTCTAATACGTCTTTGTAATGATTATGGTTGTGGCCGTGCTCTTTCTCTTAGAGGCTCATCTTGTTCTGTGCCGCTTTTTTGTCTTCGTGCCCCTGCCTCCTTGACTCACCGTCTCGCCATGTGCCCTGCCCACACTGCATGTCACTAGGGTTAGGTTTGGATCGAGGCCAAGTCCCTGCTTTGACTCACTCACTCCCTGCATTCTTTTGGGGGGTATGTGAGCGTCGAGAAGGAGAGGGTCAGCAGCGGTCACCACTTACCTGGGCTTTCCCTCCAGGCCCATTGTGGACCTCATCGGCGCCATGGAGACCCAGTCCGAGCCCTCTGAGCTGGAGCTGGACGATGTTGTCATCACCAACCCCCACATCGAGGCCATTCTGGAGAATGAAGACTGGATTGAAGATGCCTCGTAAGGCCTTGGGGACCGTTTGCTTTCCTCCAGCCGCCTGGGGATGGTGCACCGGGCTGCTGGGTATCCTCCCCTGGCTTCCCCTTGCCAAAGCCATCGACTGAGTACCTAGGAGCACTGCTGCCCTTTCCCCTGCTGCCACGGGTGGTGGTGGGGACCTAGAAGATGACATGACACTGTTTGTCCTCACCCTCCCCATTTTGTAGACCTGAACACTGAGGCCCACAGATGTGTGGCAGAATTGTTATAAAGTCACCCTGAGGTGTTGGATTCTCTTGGAGGCACCCGTGAATTTGACCCTCAGGCTCCTCAGGGATCCCTCCAGCCACCACAAGACATTGTGGGTTGAGAAGTGTATACCACCCCCTTCCCTTTGGCTCAGCCATTCATCTACTGGGCAGGTGTTTACTAATGTGATGTGCGGGCACTGGGCCCGGCACGGCAGCTATTAAGTTGGTGGTGGAGACAGAATTCTACTAAATGCCGTATTTCAGAAATGATCAGGGGTCTGTGCATGGTGCCGTGGGCACACGGGGGAGGCAGTGTCTGGAGTTGCCTGGGGTCTGGAGGTAGGGGTGGAATTCATGAAGACTCTCCCAAAGTGTCTTGATGTGGGTTTTGAAAGATGAGTTCACCAGGCTGAGCAAACAGGGAAGAAGTCCCTGGGTGGAGGGAGGGAGTGGCCTCAGAAGCTCAGAGTTAAGAGAGAGCATGACCTGATGGGTGGGGAGTCCTACCACCTGGAAGCGCAGGGTGGGCGTGGGAGGGGAAGGGAAAGAGAGGGGAGGGAAGGTGCTTCCCGGGTTAGCTCCCGGGCTTGCTCACTGTGTCACTGAGGCCTTCCTGCTCTCAGGGGGCATCCAGCTGTGCCCACAGGTCAAAGCTGGTTGAGGCCGGAGGTGGTAGCTGGAGGGAGGTGGGTCTCTCTGGAGAAGCGCTTACAAATTCTTCTTGTCTCCCCAGGGGTCTCATGTCCCACTGCATTGCCATCTTGAAGGTAATACTCTCCAATTTCCCCTTGAGGATAAGGGGATGGTCCCCAGAGCACCCTGTGCACAGACTCTCCAGGCGGGAGGGACTTTGGGAAGAGCCCTGCTTGGGAGGCCTTTTGTGACATGTGCGACACCTGGTGTGTCTCCTCTTCACTTCCGCCCCCGCCTGGATGGTCTGTCCTGCTTTACAATTCTTGAGGCCCTTTCAAAGGCTTGATTCCACCTGGTCCTCATAATAGAGCGGCCTGCGGGAAAGACACCACAGGCCGTCACTAAGCACACTGTCCCTGACTGCGGAGAAAGCTGTGCGCCCGAGACCGAGCAGCTGCTGAGGAGGAAACGGGGCTTCCCGGCTTCTCCCGGGCACTTTCTCTCATTCACGGAGAGCTCAGCCCTCTACAGGGAGCTGCGTTCTGTCTTGGGGCTTCTCCAATTGCTAGAAAGTTCCTCCCTGGCCCTCTTGGGCTGTGACGGTAGTCAGCCAAACAAGACGGTCGGTGTTAAAAAAAAATCCAAACCATGAGTATTTCAACTTGAAGGTAGACTTTTTTCTTTTAATACCCGCAGCCTCCAGAACTGGGTGGAAAGTTGGATCCGGTTTGCATTGTGGGTAATTTTTAGAGTCTGGGGTAATTTTTATGGTTTCAGCGTGTTTTTGAGTTCGTGCCTTGTACTCTCATCCTTGGTAGGATAATAATAATACCATGAGAATATTTGGCCAGTGGCAAATAGTGTTCATTTCGGTAACCTGGGAAACTACACATTTCTCTCTCTGTCTAGTAATTATTCAAGATTTCAGAAAAGACAGCTTTATCTTTTCTTTGGTGTCATTCAGTGCAAGATATTAAAAAGTCTCTCATCCCCCCTTCCTTCAGCCATCTCTCTTGGGGGACAAAGAAGTGCCTAGTAGGACATTGTTGTCCTAGGGTCCAGGCTTATTACTGAATTCCAAGAAGCTCTTTATCCATAGATATGGTCATAGGTGGAGCTAGATGGTTCTGAGCAATAATGCCGTATTACATCTCCCTTCTTCCATCCAGGATGTGCCCTGGTTCTGGGTTTTGTCCCCTGCCCTTGCCTCTTAAAGGAGCAGGATGAATGACAGCTGAGTTACGGGATGGCTTATTGTACTGAAGTCAGTGGTCCATCCTGAGATGCTCAGATCAAAGGAGAGGCTCTTACCTTCCTCTTGGGATCTCGAGGCCATTTTGCTTGGCCACCTGCCCTTGAATCTGTGTGGTGAGGCCTTGAGGGAAGGGCCTGGGACATGCTAAAATGTCACCTTAGAAAATTGTTGAAATAAGTTCCACTTTGGGAGGATGTGCTTAAAGGAACAGTTGCCTTTGTCCGGCCATGTTTCTGAGGGTGCCTCTGGAGATCTTTATCATTTTGGAAGGACTAAGCCAGGAGGTGAAGGAATCAAAAGAGAAACGGGTTTTTCCCCTTAAGGGAGAAGGTGAAATTCGAGCACATGATTTTTCTTAGACAGATTATTTCAGCTTAGACTTCTCTAAGCCGAAACCCTGACCCCGATCTGAGGTTCCGACCCCTCCCGCCTCGCTGGCCGTGTTCTTGGATTTGCCTCTTCCACTCCATTTCCTCTCATCCCTGTGTACTTTCCACTTCAGTCTGTCTGTGAGGTTAGGGGGCCCAGCTGTGGGATGGGGAGGTCCGTGTTTGTCTTTGTGGGGGCGGCAGGACCCTCAGGGGAGTGAGGTCCCCCCATCACCCCATCACCTCTCTCCTTCCTGCTGTATTAGATCTGTCACACCCTGACGGAAAAACTTGTTGCCATGACCATGGGCTCAGGGGCCAAGATGAAGACCTCAGCCAGCGTTAGTGACATCATCGTGGTGGCCAAGCGGATCAGCCCCAGGTGAGCCTCGGGGCCACGAGGTCCCCACACTCCATGGGGAGGGGAGGGGCCGGAAGCTGAGGTGGCGGCAGGGCCAGGCTCTCCTAAGAAGCTACGTGCACAACTTCAGGGGTTTACGTCCCACCCATTTCCAGAGCACCCGGGAGAGTTTAGACTCCCCTCACCTCCAGCATGCCCCCTCCCGTAGGCTTTTGGGGAATTTCCAGCAAATGACTAGTGCTGACTGTCTCCTGCCCAGTCTCGTGCCAGCTGGGGCTGCTGGCCTTGCCTTTGCCACACCTCTGCCTGGGCTCCGGGCCAGCCAGCACATCACCCACTGGTGCCCACACCCCTGTGTGCAGTGACCTCCTGGCCATTCCCCGTCCCAGCCCTCATCTGAACAGGAGACCAGCTCCTTGTCTCTGCTGCTCTGGCAGCCTCCAGGACTGGGTGGGAGGTGGAGATGGTTCAGATCTCCCAAATTCCAGGCTGTCTGCAAAGTCTCTTGTAGGAGGCCACCAGCAGGATTGCAGTCAACAGCTCCACCCCCTCATTTGGGCTCTTTGTGTGTGCATGAAGGAAATAAAGCTTTTTTCTTAGAGGGAAGGGTGGTACTAAGTTTGTGCTGCCATCTGGTGGCTGGTATGTGGATGTGCCTGAGGCTGGGGTTCCCAGTTCAGAACGTTCTCTTAATCAGCCATAGAGTTTCCAGGGGTCCTTGTCTCCACCGGTAGATCACAAGGACCAGCCGTCTGTGGGAAAATGACTGTTGGTGCCCTTGAACTCTGTCCAGGGAGTTCAGTGAGTTGAGAAAGCAGGAGGGAGATAATCCAGAAGAGTTCTTGGCTTCCTCTGGAGCTGTCCTGGGCGGGTACCTGCCTTGGTGGGCCCCTGTCCTGGGGACCCGCCACCCCAGGCTCCGGGCAAGCCCTGGACACTCCTTGGGCCACCTGTGACTGGCAGAGCCTGCATGGCTTATATCTGCTGGACCCTCCTCATGCTTCCTGTCACTTCTAAGAGCCACCGCAGGGGCCAGACACATCACGAGACCCCTGCTTATAAGACAGCATTGCCGGGAGGGGTCGTGGGGGAGAGAGATGGAGAGATCTGAATCTGAGTGAAGTCCTGGGTGGTCAGGATTAGCAGTGGTGCTGAAGCGAGGCTGAGGCGTCGTCCAGAGGGTGGACTTGACCTGGTGCTCACTGGCTGGTCCTGCAGAGCACCTCGGACTGCTTCCAGAATGATCTCTGCCATCAGTCAATCAGGGTCCTTGCTTGGTCTTTTTGCCCTCACACTTCTTTCTCCTTCTGGCCATTTTTTTTTGTCCCCATTGCTATTCTTGCTCCGTTCATTCCATATAGCGTGTTGATAGCACATTAGTCTCAAGGAGAGCGGCTTCAGCTGCGGGGCAGAGGGAGGGGCCGGCTGAGACAGGCGCTGAGGGCTACCGTGGTCCTGCTCTTCCTCACAGCCCCTCAGCCCCAAGACAAGGATGCTTAAGGGCATCTGCTTTCAAGCGCTTTTGGAAATCAAACAATACATCATTAGTTTTTGCTTCTTTATCAAGTGATCCAGGAGCAAAGATTTGGATGAAAACCTTAAACCATGCAAATGAGCATAAATAGTAGCTCCTTTCTGAATTTGATTAAAGGAAAGTTAACCATGAACTATACCAGGTGCTAAAAGAAATCCAATGGGAGCAATCTGAACCTGAGTTAAACTTGGAGGTTTTTTAGTGTTCTAGGTAACTACTTTTAACCATGGGGTTTTTTAAAAAATATGAAAGTAATAAATACTTGTAAAAGTTAAAACATTGCAGAAATTGAATGTCTGAAAGTGAAGGACCCCCTAATACCCCAATTCCTGGAGGCAGCCACCACTGAATGGTGAGTGGTCTTCTAGACTTTGCCCTCTGGCATTTCATGGCTTTTGTTTATTCATTTTTAAGCATTTGAGATCGATCAGACTTTATATATTGTTCGGCAGTTTGCCTTTTTAATGTAGTAGTCTGTCTTGAATGTCGTTCCAGATGTGTGAACTTGTATTTTGTAAACCACTGAGACTGAAAAAAAAAAAAACCCAGAAAAAAAAATTCTCTACACGGAACCTGAAGTCTTTCTAAGTCTCTGCCCAAGAATGCAGTTAGAGAAAGTCACTAAAGATTGGGTCTTGACTATCAAAAGACAGGACTCCGGATAAGGAGAGGAAGGAAGGAAAAGGGGCCACAAGAAAAGCGAAATACTGAGAATCTTTTGCCTTCCCGCAGGGTGGATGATGTTGTGAAATCAATGTACCCGCCGTTGGACCCGAAGCTCCTGGACGCGCGGTGAGAGAGCGAGGAGGGCTTGTGGGCCCCTGCATACCGGAGGCTCCCCGTTTTCTCAGATCTGTGGGGTGGGCTGTCGGGTTGTTGAAGAGAGGGCTGCTTTGGTGGCTTCCTGAGGCTGCCCTGGCTTTGGGCACCATCCCCTTCAGTGTGAACGGTCAGCCAGCCAGTGGGCCGAGCCTGGCTGGGTGCTGGAGGCCAGTGCTCTTCCTGGAACCCCGGAGAAGGAAGAGCCAGGCTTAGATTTTGAATTTCTATGAATAAACACCCGGCCAGGCTGCGTGATATCTGCACCTTCCCTCCATCCCATCTCCCCGCATTGCTCTCCCTGCTCTCCGGACCTGGGGAGCAGACGCGCCTCAGCGGTCAGTGCCACCCAGTGGTGGGCGGGGCCACGAGGACGGAGGTGACGGGTCAGCTCAAGCTGCACTGCCCTTCCACAGGACACACCCAGGAGCCCCTCTCTCATGATCCTCCCCTAAGACACGAGCCTACTCAGGCTTCTGAAATTATGTTCCTTTACCAGGTGCAAACCCAGTATATAAAAAAAAAAAGGTTCTTTTGTCTCTTGGATGGACACGACCGTTTCACAGACCCATAGAGTGATAATTGCCGGATATACATGGTCACCGCCCTTCGGCTGGTCTCTCTGCCCCGCTCCTGCTGCTGCCCGGCCGTGTCCGTGGGCTCCTCACCTGTGATACCTTCGCAGATGCGTTGTGCACATTCACTCACTATATGCAAGATACTCCGCAGTGAATCTCTCAACAGTGAAACAAACAAAACAACAAAAAACCTCCTAGTCAATTTGTTTGCAGTTACATTTCTTTTTTAGAGTGTGGTCAACCAGCCCTGGGCCTTGCTGATTCAGAGTCAGTAAGTGATGCTCAGAATAGGGGTATGGGTATCCTGTCTTCAAGTGGCCCCCGGTCGGAATGGGCTTATCCAATGGACTAGGTCCGAACTGTCCCACAAAGCACGCTCTGGGCGGCGTTAGTGAACGTGCTGCAGACAGTGGGCTCACAGGCTTAAGTCAGTCAGTGAGACTCAGTATCAGAGTCTCCCCTTAGAGCTTTATCCCGTGCACCACCTGAGAAGGGCTTTGGTTACCCTTGTTTAACCCAGACTTTCCCCAAATTATTTGATAGTGGAAACATCTTTAAATGACACACAGCAACCTCCGAGGGAAGGGACTCCAGCTTGGGGAACTTAGTCTAGATCCTACCCCTTTGAGCTTTGCTTCCTAGTCCCTTATGTCCTAGGGAACCTGACCCTGTTCTGTTGTTTTTTTTTCCCTAGGACAACTGCCCTGCTCCTGTCTGTCAGTCACCTGGTGCTGGTGACCAGGAATGCCTGCCACCTGACTGGGGGCCTGGACTGGATTGACCAGTCACTGTCGGCTGCTGAGGAGCACTTGGAAGTCCTTCGAGAAGCAGCCCTGGCTTCTGAGCCAGATAAAGGCCTCCCTGGCCCTGAAGGCTTCCTGCAGGAGCAGTCGGCCATTTAGTGCCTTCCGGCCACGCAGCCGGTCGCCAGGGCTGGCGTGCTGCCACTGCCGGGTGGCTCAGCCGCGCCCTCCACTTTCCCCTGTAGAGTTAGTTGTCCTCCAGTCGAGTGTGTGTTTAGTGAAGCAGGAGGGCCCCGTCTGTCAGTGCCTCTGCTGTAGTTGCGGAGGGTGGCTGGTGAGGGGCAGTGTGACGCTGCAGTTCCGGGAGGTGACAGTCGCCGTCTGTGCAGTAGCGCTTTGGAGACTGGAGGGCCTTAAGCTTTATTTAGCTCACCTAGTGTTTTCAGGAAAATCGAGCCACCATCTGAGAATCAGGAGGTTTCACATTAAAATCAGAATTTCTGGCTTCTCTCGAACAATCAGACGACGAGGCAACTTCATCTGCATTTTCCAAAGAGGACAATCAGTGGGAACTAAGGGGTTGCTTCTCTTGACGACACATGTTCTCTCTCACTTGGCCTGTTTCACTTATTTTTTATTATCTGCCTGGTCCCTGAGGCATCTGAGTTCCTCCTTCCCTTTACAGGTTTGGGTTTGAAGGTGAGCAGTGTAGAGGATCCCCGTTTTATCATTATGCCTGCAATTTTACCTAGCCACCACT